TTGAAGTAGTGAAATAGGGCTGCACGATTTTGGGGGGAAATCTAATCGCGATTTTTCTGACAAATATTGCGATTCGATTTGCGATATTTGTTTTTAAGCGACCCAACAGAAGTTTATTGTTAAATGCGTCCATATCTCCGGCTAGGAAGGTCGTATCAACATGCTCCCGTCTCTAGCACCCCTGCAGCCCGAGCTACGAGTGAAAGAACTAAACTTTCATGAAACTTCCGTTGGGTTGCTTTAAAGTCAAGCTTCAGTTTAAGATTCACCCTGTAATAGAAACATGTGATGGAGCATCACTAACCTGACTCAGAAACCATCTAGGAGAGCTCCATTGGAAGCCATTTGGAAAGGGCAGGCACTTTCAAAAATACTTGGCAGGTGATTGGATCAATCTGTCTATCACCTTCTATCATGGGCCACTTCTGATTGGTTAACAATGGCTGGTACATGTGGAGCACAGCACTTCTGATTGGTGTGAGAACTCGACACAAACAATCGCAGGCTTTGCGATTAGATAATCGCATCATTTAAAATCGATTAATCGTTCAGCCCTATAGTGAACCCTTTAGGTTCTAAACGTAACAAACACAAATTGTGTGCCTTTAATTATTCAATCGGTAATATGGACGGGTGCTATCTGTCTCAATTGAAGAATATTCATTTAGCTTTACTTGTGCGTTATTCATATGTATAACACAATGTGGTTGGGATGTCATATTGAAATCAATGCTTGATGATCTCAAAGATCTAGCAACTAATGGGTTCACTGTATCTGTTATACCTCATTCACACCAACGCAACACCGGTTCAAGCTCCGTGCTAGAGCTTTTCAGGTTCAGAACCGGTTCTTCGGTTTAGCTCCGGCTCTTTTCACACCGCCCAGAGTCCGACTGGTGCTGCGTCATTGCGTCATCGTTTGCGTCATGACGTAACTTGCGTGGCTGCTTCATAAAGCCAAACCGCGCGGAAACCCCTCACAGCTGACACCGACAACAACAACAATGGCCGATTGTGCTCTAGCTTCCTCTGTACCTCTTCGGAAGACCAGATTCCCAGCAGGTAGCTGGTCTCTTCAGTGGACCACTGCTGCTTGTTAAGTTTCTCAATCGTTGTGTACAACTGGATAAAACTCCGGCTTTTTGTTGTTGTTCAGGAGTTGATCTGTCTCTGCCCCTGCCCCCGCCTCGACGTTAGCGTGACGTATGTGGTGCTTTTGCTGGAAAAAATGTTGGTGCTTGAAACGAACCGGATTCCGGAGCTAAGAGGCTGCTCCGCTGCGGTGTGAACAGGAAAACCCGGTGCTTTTCAAGCTCCAGCTCCGAACCGGCCCTGAAACACCGTTGGTGTGAATGAGGTATTAGTGGGATTGGGTATAAAGTTAATGCAGCACTAGCAACGATTTCTAGCGATAATCTCTGCTCATATGCTTGCTGGGTGCAGCATGTCATTCAACTCTGGTAGGATTACGGCACCGGGTATTCCCAGGCGGTCCCATCCAAGTACTGACCCGGCCCAACCCTTCTTAGCTTCTAACCCTCTCTCACACACAACCTGCCACAAACGTTAAAGCCCTTTACTATTCAGTTAAACACATTCAATGTTTATTTATTGTAAAAGCAATTGGGCTATTTTAATCACTCTCTCTCACACACACACACACACACTTCTCCGCCTCATTCTGTTTTCATTTACTCGTTCGTTATCTGACCAGCTTCAATCTTGTAGGCTTCTCACCTCGTTTCTTGTAGCCCTCGTAAGGGTTTTGGAGGTTGATGCTTCGGTGACCGTGAGTTGTTTGGCTTTCTTGTCCGCAGCAGCAGAAAGCATTTTCGAATGTTTGAATGAATCAAAGTGGGTCGTCACCGTCGATGTTCTCTTATGCTCCAACACAGTTGCACGGGGTGCAGAATAGTTTCCCCCCACTTTCGTGCAAGACATCGGGGAACCGCTTTGCCCGGTCTTTAGCAGAAATGTTCGTGGGTAAATGAGATGGATTAGATTTGTTCATCTTGGTGTTTTCTCTCTCGTGAGTTCCACACGTTCACTCTACGGTGTTGTTTACCTTCTGTGATGTGCGAGCTGATGACGTCGCGTTATCATCACTACTTCACGTCAAGAAGAGTTAACTTTTTTTCCTCAACTTTGTGTGGAAAAATGCGGGGGTTATGCGGCCTTTTAATAAATATATGCCCTTTTAAAAAATCCGTGCCATTTTGCTGATTATGCGGTAAATTATGCGATCGCATAATCGCGTTTTCCGGGAGGGTCTATACAGTTCTCCAATTTGTTCCTACTTCTCTTCTTATATAAAATACTGATCACCCCTGTTGATAGGTCAGCCGGCAATTCCTCCCGCTCTTCCAGCTGCTTAAACAGCTCATAAAGTATGGGAACCAGATATCACTCATACCATTCTCCCTCATTACCTTTGTCAATGCACCACGTGAAGAGTCGCTTTTAAAGCGCATCCCCACAGACACATCTATTCTCCCACACATTGAAATCACCAAAAATCATACAGTTCCCCCCACATTCCCTTTTAATCCCTCAAAACACCCTTCTCTCCCTTTCGTAATTTGGTGCATATATATTGATTAACTTATACATTTCACCCATATACTCAAACACTACGCTAATCATTCTCCCATCACTGTCATCTTCCACTTTTCTCACATTTTCCCCCACCCCTGTTTTAATTAGAATCGCCACCCCTCTAGCATTCGTACCCCCGTTACTCACATACACATCACCCATCCAACTCTTTTTCACATCATCCACACACCTTTCATCCCAGTGCGTTTCTTGTAAACAAACAATGTCGGTGGCACACAGCATGATGGCCCTCTCCCTTCTGTCCGTCCGTTTTAGCCCATGTCCATTGAATGATGAAAGTGTCACCATTATAAGGAGTTAAAGGAGATATAACATCATTATTGTCATTTCAAGTCAGCCTCACCCCGTGTACTCCTCGTCTAACGACTCTGACGCCTCAATGCAGTCTTCGCCGCCTTCGTACTCTCATCTCTGGAGTCCCATTCACCGTCTGGACTCTTCTCCACCTTCACAAACCCAGGCTGCTCCTCAACCGGCACTCCTTCAGGCGCCTCCTTAGCCTCGGCGTCGCTTCTCTTCCCATCTGGCTCTTTCACCTCCATCTCCGATGCTTCGTCGCTTCCTGTATCTCCTCTCCCTTCATTGCCTCCGCTTTCACTTCCATTGGCCTCCTTTCCACACTCTTCTCTTTTCTTTTTCTTCTTTCTTTTTTTACTTTTACTCGCCTTCGCCGTCTCTTCAGCCGGCCCCTCCTCCTCTGCCGTTCCGCTCTGCCGCACATCTCCGCTTTCCCCATGCGGTCTTTCCCTTCTCAGCACTTCATCTTCGTCGCTGGAGTACCCCAGCAGACTTCCTTCCTCTGCCTCTGTGTTCATCCGATGCGGGCTCCTCCTCTTCTCTCTGCTTCTCCTCGCTGTGCCTCGTTTGCGTTAGGCGTGCCCTCCTGCTGCCCCCCTCCCTCTGCTCCCGTGTTACCATCAGCAGCGGGCTCGTCCTCCTCCGTGCGTCTATCTGCTCATCTCGCAGTTCCTAGCAAAATGCCCTAACCCCTGCATCTGTAGCAAACTTAGGGAGCTTCACCACCCATAGTATTCTTCTCTCCATGCTTTCCCTCTTTGTTTTCCTTCTTTTCCGGCCCTTTATCGACTTTCCTTTCCGCTTTTTTTTCAGTTTTAGTCTCCTTTTCCGTTACTACTTTCTTGACCTCTGGCCGCTGCATTCCTGAAAGCACGCATTTCTCTCCCGACATTCCAGCCATTTCTGCCATAATCCGCAAAAATGGGGAGACCCCCCAGCCAGCAGAGCTGTTTGGGAAGGGGGTTGCCCACAGATATGTTCAAAATTATCTCTATTTCAGCTGATTTCCTCTAGATTTCTCGCTATCATTAACAACACATTGACCGTCACACACGTCCGCTATCGGGCGTGTTCAGGGTGGTATGGCCGTAAATGAAAATTGACTCGGCACACATGCTATTTATAGCTGCTCAAACGCCGCTGCTGATAACCCTCCACCTTCTCACGTACAGCTCAAATACAATGGATCCTCTTTTACTCCTGTCAATCACCTGTTTGGAGCTCCATGTTTGCTGGCACATTGCGTGGACATTTTGCAAAACACAAAGTGGCCCATCACCTCTTCAATCATGACTTTTATCAACAATGCATTCATATCAAATACGGCGTCTCAGTCTTGCTGTGAACGCTTGTTTGGTGTTTGGCTGAAAGTTCAATTGAAGCTTTTTTCTTGTTGCAAAGTGCTGGAATCGGCTGCCATTTAAGTAACATCCGCCCAAACCGTGGTCTCTTCTGAAAGGGGGAACTAAGCTAAGGACTTTTCATCCCTTTCTGGGCGCTTTTGCTCAGTGTATTGATTTTGGTTGTACTTTTTTTAAACTTGTCTGTACTTGAAATGATCATATTTCAAATCTTTCTCATGGCTTTCTCTTGCCCGTAGTTTAGGCTCCAAGCTTGAGTAAAAGAGGATACATTGTATTTTACCTGTGGAAGAAGGCTGCGTTATCAGCGGTGTTTAAGCAGCTATAAATCCAATGGTGATATTCCATTGTGAGATTGGAGCTAAGTCACAGCATCACAAAGGACAGAGCCACTCACGGCACTGCTTCTCTCCGAAGCCGCCCCCTACACCCTGTTGATTGACAGTGGTCCTTTTTTAGTTTGACATTGAAATAGTTGTTAAAATATGAATATTTGAGCAAATGGTCTATTAGAGCAATAGTTAACTGCGCATTGTCCTCCTCAGTCTGTGTACAGCTGTGTCAATTGAAAGGGCAGCGCCGTGTGCTGACAAAGGAATAAAGTAAAAGCTTACGGCACCGGGTATTCCCAGGCGGTCTCCCATCCAAGTACTGACCCGGCCCGACCCTGCTTAGCTTCCGAGATCGGGCGTGTTTTGTTTTTTTTATCGTTTATTATCAAAATTCACATATTTACAGTTTATCACATTTTCTTTTTACAACAAGGATCCCCTTTTACAAGGATCCAGCATCATCAAAAAACAAAAACATTCTTTATTGCATCACAAAGTGAAAATGTAACTTCCCCTCCTCCTCTTCGATCAATGAACATCCTTCCACATATTCCTCTATAAACTCTTCTTTTCTCATATATATGTACAAAAGTCTGATGTCTCTCTTTATTGTCCCCACCATCAGGTCCCAGACACTGACGATTTTCCCCTCAAAATGAGCCACATTCCGTCTTAGCTTTACAGCATATCTGGCATGGCTTAAAACAAGGTTCAGCAGGTTAACATTGTATCCACACATTCTCCCCCTCCATCCAAATAACCACAGTTCCTTCCAGTCCCTCGTCTTTATTTCCTTTTCATCCCAACACCTGTACAACATGTCTTTCATTCTTTCAAAGAATCCCCTCAATTCACTGCATTCCACAAACTCATGCATGCAGTTCTCTACACCCACTTTACACACATCACATTCCCTCTTTACCTCTTTATCAAACATGCTCACAATTAAGTTATTAAACACTCTATTGTGTCGTAATAAGAAGTCAAAATGTTCACATTCGGGGCTATTCCCTTCACCCTTAAGTTCACCCACATTTTCCTCACATCCATCTCACACACGACTTTCTCCCACACTTTCTCAGCGGCTGGTCTCCTTACACAGTCTTTTCTCATCATGTCATAAATACCTTTCGTTGTTATTTTCCCCAGGGTGATTGTTTTTTCCCCCGTTCCTACATATAGTTCAACCCTGCTCTCATCGCTTCCCGCCTGTTCCCACTCAATCCTCCTTCTCCATTCATCCGGCATCCCTTCCTTTATGCTATCCATCACGTTCTCAGCTGTCCTCAATCCCATCACTAAATCCCTTTCCCTCACCTCGTCCACGATGACCTGCGACCTCATGAACCCAGGGACATACTCGTAGACCAGATCCTTCACTGTTCTGAAGCCCGCTCTCCACATTGGCAAATTGAAGATTAACCCTTTCTCACCCTTAATCCTAGGATTTAGGAAGATAGGCTGGTTCCACACTTGCCTCACATTCACGCACTCGTACCTCACATTTGGCAAAAACTCACCCCATGCACTCAAAACCTCCTTTTGAAACTCACTCATGCCGTTCATTCTCCCTTTCCCCATCTTCATATAAATCACACTGTCACCACACCCTCCACACTTGCTCAGTGCATCCCCAAGAAAGACCTTCCATAGTTGGTCATTGTTAATGCTCAGGTATCCTATCATCCTCTTGACCCTACTTGCTTTTAACTTCCTGTCTAAGTTAATTAGCTTCAATCCCCCATCTTTGTAACCATTCTCCAAGACTTCCTTTGCTATCTTCACTCCCCTCCCATCCCATAAGAACTCACTTATTATTTTGTCTATTTCTTTCAGTACCCTCTCAGGAACCTCCAGAACGTTCAACACATAAACCAGTTTGCTCATAATCAGCCCGTTCACTACTATAATTTTCCCTCTCAATTTGAGCTTCCTTCTTTTCCAAAAGGTCAGCGTTTTCCTTATGCTCTCTGTGATTCTTTCATACTGGATGTCTCTGCCCTCCTTGTCCTTTATCCCTACATTTATCCCAAGCACTGTGAAATAGTCCTTGTTTTCTTTTAGCCCCAAATCTGTTCTTCCTACAGTCACCCCTCCTAGCACCATGTACTCTGATTTGTCCACATTGACCTTAGCCCCTGACGCCCCTCCATATACAAGTAAGCTATCAAGAATCCCCTTTATGCTCACCATGTCCCTCACTGTTAAAGTGGTGTCGTCAGCATACTGATACAGCAGACTCATTCCTCCTCCTGGTACTTCTATCCCTCTCACCATCTTGTTATTCTGTAACAGAGTGGCAAGCGGCTCTGCTGATAGCGCATAAAGCATGGCAGAGAGAGGGCACCCTTGCCGGACTGACCTCCCCAGTCTGAAAACATTTGTGATGATCCCATTGACTTTGACACAACTAACCGCCCCTGCATATATCCTCTTTATCCATCCAATAAATCCCTTCCCGAATCCTGCTCTCTCTAAAACCTTAAATAAATATGAATGATTAACCCTGTCAAACGCTTTGTTTAGATCTAAACTGACAACTATCCCACCTTTCCCCCCCTTCATGTGTGCAATAGTGTCCCTAATACTACTCACTGTGTCGCTGATGTCCCTCCCTGGTATGCTGTAGGCCTGTGTGCACCCCACTACCGTCCCAATCACTTTCTTTAACCTGTTCGATAATACCCGTGCCAGAATTTTATAATCAGTGTTTAGCATACTCAAAGGCCTATAGTTCTCCAATTTGTCCCTACTTCCCTTCTTATATAGAATACTGATGACCCCTGTTGAAAGGTCAGCCGGCAATTCCTCCCTCTCTTCTAGCTGCTTAAACAGCTCATGTAGTATGGGCACCAAAATGTCCTTGAACTCAATATAAAATTCTGCTGTCAAACCATCCAGCCCTGGACTTTTATTTCTCCCTATTCCTTTTATGGCATTTTCAATCTCCCCTTTCCCTATTTCCCCCTCACACATGTCTCTCCCCTCAGTACTCAGGCTCTTATCCATGCTGCCTATGGTCATTTCCAAGCTCCTCTCATCGTTCACCTCCTCTTTAAATAAATCCTTGTAGAACTCCTCTACCCTGCTGGCTATCCCTACTAACTCTGTGATCGTTTCTCCCCCTTTACCTTCTATCTGCTTAATAAAATTCTTCCCTTGCTTCCTTTTCTCCATTCCCAGGAAGAAACCAGTGCTCTTCTCCCCTTCAACTAAGTACTCCGCCCTGCTCCTTATGATTGCTCCCATGCACTTGCCCTTTTCTATCTGACCCATCTCATCTTTAAGTCTAGTGTAATTTCCTATATCTCTCCCTATCTCTGCATCTATCTTCTCTGCCTCCCTCTCCAGCTCTCTCCTCACTTTTCCCTCCCTCTCTCTCTCTCTTTTATTCCTCCCACTGCTATACTTTATACTCATTTTTTTGATGTCTCTTTTTAACTCCTCCCACCACACTGCCACATCCACTCCTTCCCTACTACCCTGCTTCAAAATGCATTCATTGACTTTAGTTTTATATCCCTGTTCTTTTAATAGCATCCCGTTCAAACACCAAATTCCCCCCCCCTTTCCCTCTACAACCCTCAGTGAAACTAAAGCACAGAATCGTGTGATCACTCATGGCAGCGGTTCTGTGTTCAATATCCCCAATTTTCCCCCCCATGCTCGCCTTACAAATTAATAGATCTATCCTGCTTTGCTTGAGCACCCCTTCTACCACCTGTTTCCTAGAAAACACCCTTTCATTTGCGTTCCTCTCTCTCCATATATCACTCATTCCATTCTCCCTCATAACCTTTTTCAATGCGCCACGTGAAGAGTCACTTTTGAAGCGCATCCCCACTGACACATCTATTTTCCCACACCACACATTGAAATCCCCCACAATCATACAGTTCCCCCCACACTTCCCTTCTAAGCCCTCAAAAAAACCTTTTCTCTCCCTTTCATCATTTGGTGCATATATATTGATGAGTTTATATGTTTCTCCCATATAATCAAACACTACACCAATCATTCTTCCATCACCATCATCTTCCACTTTGCTCACATTCTCCACCACCCCTGTCTTAATTAGAATCGCCACCCCTCTAGCATTCGTACCCCCGTTACTCACATATACATCACCAAACCAACTCTTTTTCACATCATCCACACACCTATCATTCCAGTGCGTTTCTTGGAAGCAAACAATGTCAGTGGCACACAGCATGATAGCCCTGTCCCTTCTGTCCGTCTGTTTTAGCCCATGTCCATTAAATGATGATATTGTCACCATTATAAGGAGAAAAAGGAGATACATCATTATTAAAGTCATTTCAATTTAGCCTCACCCCGTAGAATGTCCATCTGTCGTTTCTCATGCCTCAATGCCGTCTTCGCCGCCTCCGCACTCACATCTCTGGAGACTCGTTCACCGTCATCAGGACCCTTCTCCACCTTCACGTTCCCAGACTGCTCCTCCACCGGCGTTCCTTCATTTTTCTCCTTAGACCCAGCATAACTCCTCTTCCCATCAGGCTCCGATGTTTCGTCGCTTCCTGTTTCTCCTCTTCCTCCATTACTTCCGCTTTCACTTCCAACGTCCTCCTTTTTATATTCTTCTGCATTGCTTTCTTTTATTTTGTTTTTCTTCTTTCTTTTTTTACTCAGGGTGGTATGGCCGTAAACGAAAATTCAATCGGCACACATGCTATTTATAGCTGCTCAAACGCCGCCGCTGATAACCCTCCACCTTCTCACGTACAGCTCAAATACAATGGATCCTCTTTCACTCCTGTATATCACCTGTTTGGAGCTCCATGTTTGCTGGCACATTGCGTGGACATTTTGCAAAACACAAAAAGTGGTGCTCTTCAATCATGACTTTTATCAACAATGCATTCATATCAAATACGGCGTCTCAGTCTTGCTGTGAACGCTTGTTTGGTGTTTGGCTGAAAGTTCAATTCAAGCTTTTTTCTTGTTGCAAAGTGCTGGAATCGGCTGCCATTTAAGTAACATCCGCCCAAACCGTGGTCTCTTCTGAAAGGGGGAACTAAGCTAAGGACTTTTCATCCCTTTCTGGGCGCTTTTGCTCAGTGTATTGATTTTGGTTGTACTTTTTTTTAACTTGTCTGTACTTGAAATGATCATATTTCAAATCTTTCTCATGGCTTTCTCTTGCCCTGTAGTTTAGGCTCCAAGCTTGAGTAAAAGAGGATACATTGGATTTTACCTGTGGAAGAAGGCTGCGTTATCAGCGGTGTTTAAGCAGCTATAAATCCAATGGTGATATTCAGTGGCGACTGGTCATTAGGGGCAGGTGCGGCACAGCCCCACCTAGTGTCAGCAGAAAGTATTAAAAGTAATGATTACAAAAAAATGCAAAAAATAAATTTAAAAAATATATTAAATATATTTTAAGATCATGTTTAATCATCTGATTCGTCTGTACATTGCTGTTTTAGTCTGTGTTCTTCTAATTAGTGTCTACAGTGTGTGCCTATTGAGCTGTTTTGAGCCATGTGGGACAAAACCCGATCCTGCCCCTCCCTCTCCCTGTTTAAGTCAATGGTGACTGTAAAAACTACACTGCGCATGCTCAGAGTATTGTCCTATTTAATGTGTGTGGCAAAAAATAATGACCATAGGGGCATAGTGCTGCCATCCCCACCATACGTCATCTCACATCATTCAGAGCTGATTGGCTGTAAGTACGTGTGCCGCGAAAAGTGTGGTGTGTGAAGAGGAGGAGAGAGAGCTGCAGTGAGGCGTCCTAAAACCCAGAAATAAACTGCGCATGGCTTCCCTCCACAAAAAAGCAATGATATTTCTCCATAGGATTTTAGAAAATAGCTCCAAATAAGATCTGTGGGAAACAAACCTGTTAGATAAATGCACGTTTTGTTCAGCCGGATAATATCCACATGTCTACCCTACTTTTATAATTTTCGAATCATAAATCTATTGATTAGATCAGATTTATGATAGACTTTTGAAACTACAAGAACATAAGGAGGACTTTTACAAAAAAGTAATAGAGATTTTTGTCCAGAAGGATAGGCAAATGGACTTCATCTTCATGTCAAGGTAAGACTGCAATTTGATTGAAAATGGGATCTTACTAAGAGAGAACAATTCAATATTTAAATGATAAAATTACATTTTTGGGTATCCTTTTGTTGAACTGTCTGTTTAAAATTAATTGAAGCATCAGACAAAAAAAGCTTTTGAAAATAATATTATATTTTGATTTAGGTCAAAATATAATATTTGTAAACCTGAAGAGTCAGAGCCTCACCAGCCATGAACCTCACTGCAGAAGCTTATATATAGACATCTAAGTTTTGTGTGGCCCACCACTTTTGTACATATAAAAACGCCACTGGTGATATTCCATTTCCATTGTGAGATTGGAGCTAAGTCACAGCATCACAAAGGACAGAGCCACTCACGGCACTGCTTCTCTCCGAAGCCGCCCCCTACACCCTGTTGATTGACAGTGGTCCTTTTTTAGTTTGACATTGAAATAGTTGTTAAAATATGAATATTTGAGCAAATGGTCTATTAGAGCAATAGTTAACTGCGCATTGTCCTCCTCAGTCTGTGTACAGCTGTGTCAATTGAAAGGGCAGCGCCGCCGTGTGCTGACAAAGGAATAAAGTAAAAGCTTACGGCACCGGGTATTCCCAGGCGGTCTCCCATCCAAGTACTGACCCGGCCCGACCCTGCTTAGCTTCCGAGATCGGACGAGATCGGGCGTGTTTTTTTTTTTTTTATCTTTTATTATCAAAATTCACATATTTACAGTTTATCACATTTTCTTTTTACAACAAGGATCCCCTTTTACAAGGATCCAGCATCATCAAAAAACAAAAACATTCTTTATTGCATCACAAAGTGAAAATGTAACTTCCCCTCCTCCTCTTCGATCAATGAACATCCTTCCACATATTCCTCTATAAACTCTTCTTTTCTCATATATATGTACAAAAGTCTGATGTCTCTCTTTATTGTCCCCACCATCAGGTCCCAGACACTGACGATTTTTCCCTCAAAATGAGCCACATTCCGTCTTAGCTTTACAGCATATCTGGCATGGCTTAATACAAGGTTCAGCAGGTTAACATTGTATCCACACATTCTCCCCCTCCATCCAAATAACCACAGTTCCTTCCCAGTCCCTCGTCTTATTCCTTTTCATCCCAACACCTGTACAACATGTCTTTCATTCTTTCAAAGAATCCCCTCAATTCACTGCATTCCACAAACTCATGCATGCAGTTCTCTACACCCACTTTACACACATCACATTCCCTCTTTACCTCTTTGTCAAACATGCTCACAATTAAGTTATTAAACACTCTATTGTGTCGTAATAAAAAGTCAAAATGTTCACATTCGGGGCTATTTCCCTTCGTGTTCAGGGTGGTATGGCCGTAAACGAAAATTCTATCGGCACACATGCTATTTATAGCTGCTCAAACGCCGCCGCTGATAACCCTCCACCTTCTCACGTACAGCTCAAATACAATGGATCCTCTTTCACTCCTGGAAATCACCTGTTTGGAGCTCCATGTTTGCTGGCACATTGCGTGGACATTTTGCAAAACACAAAAAGTGGTGCTCTTCAATCATGACTTTTATCAACAATGCATTCATATCAAATACGGCGTCTCAGTCTTGCTGTGAACGCTTGTTTGGTGTTTGGCTGAAAGTTCAATTCAAGCTTTTTTCTTGTTGCAAAGTGCTGGAATCGGCTGCCATTTAAGTAACATCCGCCCAAACCGTGGTCTCTTCTGAAAGGGGGAACTAAGCTAAGGACTTTTCATCCCTTTCTGGGCGCTTTTGCTCAGTGTATTGATTTTGGTTGTACTTTTTTTTAACTTGTCTGTACTTGAAATGATCATATTTCAAATCTTTCTCATGGCTTTCTCTTGCCCGTAGTTTAGGCTCCAAGCTTGAGTAAAAGAGGATACATTGGATTTTACCTGTGGAAGAAGGCTGCGTTATCAGCGGTGTTTAAGCAGCTATAAATCCAATGGTGATATTCAGTGGCGACTGGTCATTAGGGGCAGGTGCGGCACAGCCCCACCTAGTGTCAGCAGAAAGTATTAAAAGTAATGATTACAAAAAAATGCAAAAAATAAATTAAAAAATATATTAAATATATTTTAAGATCATGTTTAATCATCTGATTCGTCTGTACATTGCTGTTTTAGTCTGTGTTCTTCTAATTAGTGTCTACAGTGTGTGCCTATTGAGCTGTTTTGAGCCATGTGGGACAAAACCCGATCCTGCCCCTCCCTCTCCCTGTTTAAGTCAATGGTGACTGTAAAAACTACACTGCGCATGCTCAGAGTATTGTCCTATTTAATGTGTGTGGCAAACAAATAATGACCATAGGGGCATAGTGCTGCCATCCCCACCATACGTCATCTCACATCATTCAGAGCTGATTGGCTGTAAGTACGTGTGCCGCGAAAAGTGTGGTGTGTGAAGAGGAGGAGAGAGAGCTGCAGTGAGGCGTCCTCAAACCCGGAAATAAACTGCGCATGGCTTCCCTCCACAAAAAAGCAATGATATTTCTCCATAGGATTTTAGAAAATAGCTCCAAATAAGATCTGTGGGAAACAAACCTGTTAGATAAATGCACGTTTTGTTCAGCCGGATAATATCCACATGTCTACCCTACTTTTATAATTTTCGAATCATAAATCTATTGATTAGATCAGATTTATGATAGACTTTTGAAACTACAAGAACATAAGGAGGACTTTTACAAAAAAGTAATAGAGATTTTTGTCCAGAAGGATAGGCAAATGGACTTCATCTTCATGTCAAGGTAAGACTGCAATTTGATTGAAAATGGGATCTTACTAAGAGAGAACAATTCAATATTTAAATGATAAAATTACATTTTTGGGTATCCTTTTGTTGAACTGTCTGTTTAAAATTAATTGAAGCATCAGACAAAAAAAGCTTTTGAAAATAATATTATATTTTGATTTAGGTCAAAATATAATATTTGTAAACCTGAAGAGTCAGAGCCTCACCAGCCATGAACCTCACTGCAGAAGCTTATATATAGACATCTAAGTTTTGTGTGGCCCACCACTTTTGTACATATAAAAACGCCACTGGTGATATTCCATTTCCATTGTGAGATTGGAGCTAAGTCACAGCATCACAAAGGACAGAGCCACTCACGGCACTGCTTCTCTCCGAAGCCGCCCCCTACACCCTGTTGATTGACAGTGGTCCTTTTTTAGTTTGACATTGAAATAGTTGTTAAAATATGAATATTTGAGCAAATGGTCTATTAGAGCAATAGTTAACTGCGCATTGTCCTCCTCAGTCTGTGTACAGCTGTGTCAATTGAAAGGGCAGCGCCGCCGTGTGCTGACAAAGGAATAAAGTAAAAGCTTACGGCACCGGGTATTCCCAGGCGGTCTCCCATCCAAGTACTGACCCGGCCCGACCCTGCTTAGCTTCCGAGATCGGACGAGATCGGGCGTGTTCAGGGTGGTATGGCCGTAAACGAAAATTCAATCGGCACACATGCTATTTATAGCTGCTCAAACGCCGCCGCTGATAACCCTCCACCTTCTCACGTACAGCTCAAATACAATGGATCCTCTTTCACTCCTGGAAATCACCTGTTTG